CAAACGAGGGGCTGTGACAAACTGTTTCGTCGGAGTTTCACCGACTCATTATAACTCCGACGAAACAGTTTGTCACAGCCCCTCGTTTGTTGTCCTCTTCTCTCTCTCTGCCTACGGTTTACCGGGCAGTTCTGTTTGTGACGATATAACGTACAAATAATTCATGTCCTTCTTTATCTTTAAATACTGCATGACCTAACCAACCTACTGCAATTCCATCTCCATTATCCATAGGACCAGCACGAAATAGCCCACCTTTAGCAGGATTATTGCCAATATAATCATAAAAGGCCAATTTTTCTGGTATTCGCGACCAAGCTTCTGAAATACTAAGACCTATATATGTGTGTGTGTGTGTGTGTGTCTGTCTGTCTGTCTCTCTCTCTGTATATACATGACGATATATATATATGTACATATATATCGTCACAAACAGAACTGCCTGGTAAACCGTAGGCAGAGAGAGAGAAGAGGACAAGAAACGAGGGGCTGTGACAAACTGTTTCGTCGGAGTTTCACCGACTCATCAGGAGGCTGAACCCTCGACAGTCTGCAGAATCCCCTCACTGATTACACTGTAAATGATAATYTACCTTAACCAAAATCAAAGTAGACTATCACTCACCCACACCAGATGGAAAACTCTACAGACTGTCGGTTCACACCCCATCACAAGCCAGCACAACATCCATATATATTGTCACATAACTATGAACTAAAAGAGCGCACTTTGCGAAACAAAAGGCAAAAATAACAAATAAAAAAACAAGACAAACATGAAGGGCACACTGAAACCATTCATTTTTCTCATTCTTCTTTTAACTCCCCCTTGACCGTGCCTCTCACGTACAAGGCTCGCCACGCTGATGAAGTTGAGCTTGAGCTGCCCCCATCCCCGTGTGCCATAACAGCCCACTTGTACACTGTGAGAAAAAGGCAGAGTGAAGGGGGAGGGGATAAACAAAGGGAGGAGAGATCGAGAGCAGACAAACAAAGAACGATAAAGGGAAAGTAAGGGATAGTATGGAGTGTGGAGTGAAGATGAAGGCAAAAGAGGATAAGAAAAGGCTCAAGAATGAGTCTGTCCTTGACGACAGAGAGGACATACATTGTAAGGATGAGCTGGATGAACACATGGAAGACCTAGCTGAGCATTCTCAGTGCAACAATTGCCACGATGGCTGGCATTGAGCATGCCCACCATACACACCCAACAAATGGCATGTCAATTGCAGGCCAAAATGAAGGAAGAACGGTTACCACAAAAGAGCATGCATTCAGTATAGCGCCCATGGACGCAAAATGGACATATAGTGTCCGGATGCGGAGGGTGCCTGTAGTCAGGAACGGTGGGACAGTCCTCTGCACACATGGATGCAGAAACCATGTCATTGTAGTGATTGTGACAGAGACGATGGCGGCTACAGCCAAGCGTAACAGTGTTTGTGGCTGTGCAAAGGAGAAGGTCGCAGAGTGTTGGTACATTGTCTTGCTGCAGCACAGGCCCAGAGGAATGATCTTCGACATAAAAGAGATTGCGGACGGTTTGCTGTGGCGAGAAAACAGCATCATTTTGTAAGAAATCAGTGACATCGGTCATGGCATGGACCATGGTGCCGTTGTCCCACAGCTCCCAGTGGTCAGATGCATGTACAATGGCCATGTAATGGCCAGGGCCATGCACAATGCAGGCAGAGATGTGGGATGGAGGATTAAACCACTCACCTGCTCGAGCATTGCGTAGTTCAAGTTGACAGTCCCTCATTGCTACTTGTAGGACAGCAATGGTAAGGCCTCCTTCGCTGGTATAATTACAATCCTCTGGCTGTAGTTGGGGAAGATCAGAATCAAGCTGAAGGGCGATTGCAAGGAAGTCTGATGGTGTATAAAACAGGCGGTGGAGAATGTGAAGACAGATATTAGTTGTTGTCAGACCACATAGATTGGTGAGGTCCTCAGGCTGGTTTGTTGTCCTCTTCTCCCTCTCTGCCTATGGTTTACCGGGCAGCTCTGTTTGACGATATATATTGTCACAAAGTCATCAGAG